CAAACTCGACAAAGTACATCAGTAACAATTTTTCTTCGTCGAGTTGAAATTATATTTGGAGCTTTAGCTGCTGCTAGTCGAGTTTTATCATTTTGGATATCAACAGCAGTTACAATTGATCGATACATATTAATTTGTTATCCATCATATGGAAAAACATTTTGTACATTAAATAAAGCAAGAATTGTTTCACGAACATTATTTATAGTTGCATTTATTTATTCAGTTCCACTTCTTTTTGAATATGAAGTTATAAACGTACCAAGTGTTTATCAAATGATTCAGTTTGACAATGAATCAATGATAGCAAACGATGAAAAACTTAATAAAAACAGTATGCTTGTGACAAAAGGTTATACTGATTTAGCTAAAAGAAGAGCATATCGTTGGGCTTATCTTTTTTTTAATGCCATATTTGTTTATACATTACCAACATTAATAATAATTTTTTCTAATTTACAATTAATAGGTGCTTTAAAGCGTCATAAATCTCGTACAAAATCTATAAGAAAAAGACATAGTTCGAATCAATATGGAAAAAAAAAACGTCAATCTCATCGTCATCGTCATTCAAAATATTCTATAACAATAATGGTTATTTTTATGGTATTAGTATTACTTTTATGTCGAAGTCCAACAATTGGTCTTTGGATATTATGGTCATTTGAATTAACAATAAAAACTTTTTTTGATTCATCATCAAGTTCATTTGTAAGACGTTTTCATAATATAGCAAATTTAATTGCTATTATTAATGCAGCTACAAATTTTATTCCATATTGTCTATTTGGACAATTATTTCGTGATAAATGTGTAACAATTTATTGTTGTCGGAAACCAACAAGTGAACAATTAGCAAAACAAGCAAAAATAATATATGAACAAAAAAATGGACATGTAAAAATAATTTCAAAAACAAAAACAACTAGTGATGAACAACATACAATTCAGATTGAAACAGACTGTTTACATACAGTTTCATCCGTAAATTCTGATTCACAAAGTGGAGTAAGTCCACCATCTAATGATCAAAGTATTCAACTAGTATTTTAAAATTATCTACACTTTCTATTCATTTTATTTATAAATATCCAACAACAATTAAAAATTTTATTTTATGTCGTTACACGTTTATTTTGTGTAATAATCGGACTTTAGTTTAGTTTCCTTTAATATTGATGTTGTAACTGATTTAAATAAATTTTTTTTTTCAAAAATAATATTTTGTATAGATTAAAAAATATCAAAGATACATATATGATTAATATCAACTTAATTGAATTAGAAATGTGTGAAATTATGATTGACAATGTTTTTATGGTTTCTAAGTGAATTATATTCAAAATAAAAATTAAAGACAAATATTTAAAAAAAAGAAGTTATACTTATTAATTTAGATTTTATTCGAATAATTGAAATTTATTTAAATTTTCTTCTACTTATCTTGATTTAAATTCTTCAATGAACAAATCGATCTGCTAATCTTATCAATTATTTTTAAATTTATATCGATAATAAAATAATTTTCAATAAAAAGCGAACAGTTTAATCTTTGTAGAAAAATATGACTTTTTTTAATAACAAAGGGCATTTTTAATGCATTCATTATCACATCATATGACGGCTTTTTTATTGAAGTTTATTTTTTACATAATGAGGGTAAAAAAAGATGAAGCATAACATAACATTATGCAAAAGCGTTACTTTTTAAAATTACTTATTAATGTCAATATTTTTTTCTCTAACTAAAAATAGCAGAAATTCTATCAAAATAAATATTTAGAATTATTGATTCGAGACTTTGTTTTTTCTTATCCAATGAATTCTTTTCATACGATTTTCAATTTAAAAATGTTTAAAAAATGTTAAACATAAATACATCATTTTATAATCATTGGTATTTCTTTCGATATTCTTTTTTTCTTCTTATAAAATGTATATAATGGAATTGTTCCTGCTACGAGACCACCAAAAATCATAATAGCACCAACAAGTGCAAATGGTATTGTCCAATTTTGTGTTTTATCTTTTAGCAAACCTATTTTAGTGGTTCTATATTAAACAAAAAGATATCAATTATTAATATATTCTACTAACCAAGTAATGGATAACCGAACAGTGATGTTGATCCACTAACAAGTAAACTAAATCCATAAGCTATAGGATAACGATGCATACCAACAACTTCTATTATAATAATATTGCCCAGTGCATTAGGAGCTGCAAGAAAAAAAGCATGAATAGCAAAAAGTATACATAAACCAATAAGTCCATAAGATCCAACTAATGGAGCTATACTAAGTGTTAAACCAGCAATAATAGATGTGCATGTCCATAGAATAAATGTATCAATACATTCAATATCACCCAAATATCTTTGAAGAAATAAAATGATTATAGTAAAAGAATTTTTTATAGCATACCCGAAAAATAATTGTCCTATAAGATCAGCTACACCTATGATAGAAATTAATAATGTTGATCGTTGTTCTGATTGCCCAGATGATTTAAGAAGATCGGTAAGAAATAAAAAATTTGTTTCATCTAATGACCAAACAAGAATTATTGATATAATTAATATACGAAAAATATTGATACGAAGTAAACAACATATTTCAGAGATTATTTTACAATGAAAATATTTATTATCTTTAGATAAATTTGATTGAATTTGAGATTGTTGTTGTTGTTGTTGTTGTTGAGATAAACCAATTTGTTTATAAATTGCAGGGTCTGTCATTCGAACTGCATGTGCAATAGCCAAAATTGATAAACGATTATGATCATTATGAGGAATTAGTGAATGAGCATTAGTATTGATTGATTGAAGAGTATGAGAATTTATGGTAATTGGTGATGGATCTATTAAGCTGAATACAGAAATAACTTTATTTTATAATTCAATAATTAAGGTTAATAACTCTTCGAAACTTTGTGAAAATTCTCTATTAACTTTGCTACTTATTTTTAACGTCAAAATAGAAAGAAATAGGATCAGTATGAGAACAAACTACTGATGACGATTGACTCTCCAAGATTATTGATATTTTATGATATAGATAAAATATATTTTATGCTACTAATAGATATATTCAATCAATAGAATAAATAATTAGTAACCTCTCATTTTTGCATAATCCTATTTGCTTTTTGTTAACAATTTCTACATACCTTCTTGATTTATTTCGAGGACTGGATGTTATTCCTTGTAAAATAGTAGG